CCCCAGCTGGCCTGGAACTCACTATGTAGACCAGGCTGGCCTTGAACTCACAGAGATCCACCTGCCTCTGCCTCCCAAGTGCTGGGATTAAAGGTGTGCACCACCACGCCCAGCAGCTTACTACATTTCTAACATGAAATAGGAATGTCAGGAATGTCTTCAACAACCACAAAAAGACACACCTCTGACTGTATAAAGTGATGTTGGACACCCCCTTGTGCTCTAATTTCACTGATGTCAGCTTTTCTGTCCTCTCATTATGTGACTCATAAGATGCTCAGTAGCCTTTCAGAAAACAGTCCCGAGGTACAGACCTTATTTTTGCAGAGCTCCATGTAGGTCCCTTCGATTCCTCTCTTCTGAGCCCAGGAAGGCATGACTTCAGGGTCAGGCACCACAATGCCTACCAAAAAGGCCTACAAAGCCCGCCAGAAAGCAGAGTCACGACAAAAGCCTTGGAAGTGCTTGTTTGTGGTCCAGCATTAACAATAATCTCTTGGTATTCTCAGACTCCACCCTCTTCTAAAAATAAGTGTGCTTAGGAAACACTTGTTTGTATGCTGTGAAACATTTCCACCAATGTATCACAAATTCTTGACTGTTCATTTCTGACTAGGGATGTAGCTCAGTGGTTAAACATTTGATTAGCATGCACGAGGCCCTGGGCTTAATCCCCAGAACCGAAAAACAAAAACAAAATGTTTTTTAATATAGTCTTCCTAACTTTGGGGGAGAGGCTAAGGACATCACAAATCTGTAAAATGAGACTGAAGGGAACCTTTGATGTCACATCAACTTTAAATCTGCACATTTTTATAGAGGATGCTAATCAAAAAAAAAAAAAAACCTTTGCCCGGGCGTGGTGGCACATGCCTTTAATCCCAGCACTTGGAAGGCAGAGGCAGGCTATCTTTGTGAGTTCGAGACCAGCCTGGTCTACATAGTGAGTTCCAGGACAGCTGGGGCTACAAGGAGACCCTGCCCCCCTCCACAAAAAAGACAAAAAACCCTTATGATCCGGACTCTATGGACCAAAACAAAATTCTCAGAATTTCCAGAACATTTAAAAATTATTACATCATATAGCTCCACTTGTGAAGAATTGCTTTAATTTTTGTGGCTATTTTCTTTTAAGATAATTTAATACTTAATCATATAAATAAATGCATAGGACAGAATAGATTCAATATTTTTATACCATAGAATATGTTCTTGATCTGTCTGACTGTAATCTGAATGATATTGATGGGAATTCATTTAATCCTGGTATGATATGCAATATTATCTCCAGCATTATTGTTTGCAGTATTATACCTGTTTACCTGTACAATTCATTTGCATATTAAAAAATCAAAACAAGCTGGGTATGGTGGCACATGCTTTTAATCCCAGCACTTGGGAGGCATAGAGGCAGGAGGATCTTTGTGAGATTAAGGCCAGCCTGTTCTACATGGTAAGTTCCAGACCAGATGGGGCTACAGGGAGACCCTGTCTCAAAAAGACCAAAAACAAAAACAAAAAACAAACAAAAAAAACATGCTATCTGTGGGGCCACTCGAAGGATGGGTGAGTCAGATGATTTTATTCTTCG